GAAATTTGGTAACTGGCTTGGTGTTTACTTGGTCCATGAGGATGAGGATGAGGAATCGCAGGCCAGAAAGAACTGCACATATTAAAGGCAGGGTCTTAGGATCTATTGTTGGCTCTACTGCTTAACTCCAGGTGATTCTTTGTTTTACTATGAGATAAAGTTTGCTAGATAATGCAGAGAAGAGATTGCTTGCAAGCCATCTCTTTTATATTACATTGCTACATAACACACAAGATATTTGAGTTTTCAAGTAGATCTGAGTTGTAAAGCTAGCATGACTCCTAGCTCCCACCGTAGGCAGTGCTTCCAAGAGTTGCCTGTCTGACAGCACAGGCTTCACATAGTGATTGGTCTGAAGTGCTGAGAGAAAGCCTTGATTAGTTGAGACCAAAATGTGCTTAGGACGACTTGTTTCAAGTCTTTGTTCACTTTAGAAGTATAAATTCTTACGAAAACAGAGTGCAAATATGATTTTAAGCCAAGAATATCTACTATTTAAATTTTTATTATATATGTGTGTATGTGTATATATGTGTGTGTGTGTGTGTATGTATATGTGTGTGTGTGTGTGTGTGTGTGTGTGTATGTACGTATATATATATTATACACAGGTCAGAGGATCACTTACTGAATGAGTCCATTCTCTTCTCTTACCACATAGAGTTGCTTTTGTTTTGTCTCATTATATATTCCTGGCTAGCCTGGAACTCACTATGTAGACTAGGCTGGCTTTGAACTCACAGGACCCATCTCATCTGCTAGGATTAAAGGTGTGTACTACCAAGTGGTTTCTGGGGGTCCAATCTAGATGGTCAGGCTTGGTAGCAGGTGTCCTTACTCACTAAGCCATCTCACCAACCCATCTATCTTTAATAAAGGGAACATATATAGATATGTATGACATAAACATTTTATAAACATATTTATAAACAGAGGTGAGTAAGCAACTGTAGACAGAAAGGAGGTACCCTTTCTGCCATTATTTTTAAAAACTAAAAGAGCTAACATTTTTATTTATTTATTTTATTATTTTACATGTTGATCCCAGTTCCCCCTCCCTCTCTCCCTCCTTTCCTCCCAAGAGCTAACATTTTTATTTTCACAGTTCACGATACAAATAAAACTATGGTAGATGGGGAAGAGTCTTCCTTGTCAAGCCACTATAAAACATCCGGGGGCAGCACCATAATCTAGTGAAACAGAAACACACAGACCCGATAACCCTCCTGCCCTTACCTGAGTCATGCCATGCCAGGTGAGCACCATCTTATCATTGGAGGCCTGGGAGTCAAGGGCGTGTCTTCCCATGAGTGTCCTCATTGTAGGAGCAGGTCCCACAAGCATCATCCCAGGAGGAGAGGGGCCCATGTTGGGTGCTTGCATTATATACCACAGTGAGGAGGACCTGGGAGACTGGGGTCAGGTAGGATTGTGGCCCCTTCAGTAAGGAACAGAGAATGGAACCAGAAGTCTCTTGTTGAAATGTAGCCATTGTTTTATCATCAGGCTTTGGGCCTGCTCTTCCATCCATTTGGGGATGGGATGTCTTTCACATTCCTTTTGCTTCCTACAACTGTCTTCCTCACAGACATGACATGGGTGAGAAATGTGTTGCAGTAATCACAATTAAATCACTGCTACTCTGTCAGATTCCAGCCCCCCCCCCTTTTTTTTTTAGACAGGGTCTCATGGTATAGAACAGGCTGGCCTTGAACTCATAAAGATCTGCTTGTTTCTGCCTCCTGAGTGCTAGGATTAAAGGCGTGCCCCACACCCCCAGCCTCTGACAGGCTTCTTAAGATGTTATTTGCTGCTTTTGAACAAAGTGATTATTTTAGGCTTGGATAGGGGCAGCTTTATGGGATACTCAAAGCTAACAGCACATTGTGGGGTAGAAAACATGTAGAACATGTTCAAGGGATGATGAATAGGCTGGGGATAGCTTGGTAGGTAGAAGTGATTGTTGTGCAAGTGTGAAGACCTGGGTTATAATCCCTAAACCACACATAAAAACTGGATGTGTAGGGACTGGAGAGGTGGTTCAGCAGTTAAAGAGCACTTGTTCTTGCAGAGGATGTGGGTTTGGTTCCCAGCACCCAAAGGATGGCTTACAACCATCTGTAATTCCAGTTCTAGGGAATCCAACACCCTCTTTTGGCTTCCTTGGGCACCAACAGACTTACGTGCAGGAAAAATAAAGTCTTCAAACAAAAACTGGTCATGTACTGTAAGTGTCTGCAGTTTGAGGAGATAGGAGGTGGAGACAGCAAAATCCTAGAAGCTTAGAGGCAGTTACCCTGGCACGCACAGTAGAAAGACAACAAAGAAAAACCCCATCTCAAAGTAAATAGAAGGTGAGAACAAACACCTGAGGTTGTCCTTTGACTTCGTATGAACACTATGGCATACATACACTCCTAAAGTCACATATGTGAATGTGCGTGCACACGCGCGCGCGCGCACACACACACACACACACACACACACGGTAAACAGTCCAATCTGATCATAATATGAGGGTATGTAGTAAGGAGTATTTGGTGGCAAGAAATATTCCTTGGCAAGAAAAAGTGAAGCCCTCACTACTTTAATTCTGCTTTCATTCCTGCTTTGAAGCAGGTTATACATTGTTAACATATAGATGGTAGCAGATGTCATGCCTTTCACCTAGAAAATCATGTTCTGCATAGAAATGGAAAAGGGAGACACAGGACGGGACATGAGGAGATGTGGAATAATTCCTAGATAGCACAGTGGGCTCTCATTAGCAGTCTCCTCTTTTGATGTGCGGAGGCTCAAACTCAGGATCTTATACTTGCTAGGTAAGCTTATAATGCTGAGCTAAACCTAAGCTTGACCCCAGGTAATAGTTTTCTTATTGTCACAAAAGGGCAAACATTTCATCTGCTTATGGATATATGTGACATATGTGAAGCAGCCCATGCATTCACACGATGGTTTGGTGTGTGGTTTGGTGTGTGTGTGCGCTATAGTGCCCATGTGGGGATCAGAAGACAACCTATAGGAGTCAGTTTTTATCCTTCCACCATATCAAACTCCCATCTAAAGCCTTGGCAGCCTGCACATTTACCCAGTGAACTATCTTGCTGGTACCATCACTATAGTTTCGGTTTCTGGGTAGTATCCAAGGAACTGTGAAATTAATAAAGTAGCCATGATGCGAACAGCTAGTGTTCTTAGCCACTGAGCCATCTCTCCAGCCTGTATTTTTTGGTTTTTTTGAAACAGGTGTTACTACGTGCCTGGAAATCACTACTATGCCTTGGATTTACAGAGAGTGCAGAGTCACAGCACAGCCTAATTTTTATCTATTTTTTTTTCAGCTCACATTTATAATTTGATATGAAGAATTAGCAATACTACCCAAGTTTCTATAATACTTACTAGCTTATACATTTGTAAAGAAGGCAAAACTTTATTATTTTCTCTCTCTCTTTTTTTAAAATGTGTATTGGTGTTTTTGCCATGGGTGTTGGGTCTCCTGGAACTGGAGTTACACAGTTGTGAGCTGCCATGTGGATGTTGGGAATTGAACCTGGTTCCTCTGGAAAAACAGTCAGTGCTCTTAACTGCGCTGAGCCATCTCTCCAGCTCCCTAGTTTCCCTCTCTTTAACACTTATTTCTAGCATGTGACAGGCACTTAGTGGGCATTCATAGAACATCTGAATGAATGGACAGTGCCTAAGCATGCCAGCTGCATTAAAAAGGTAAGCAGAGTTGGGCACAATGGTGTATGCCGGTAGTCAGTCCTAACTGTTGGGAAGCTGAGACAGCACTCTTGAGCTTAGGAGTTGAGAGCTAGCTTGGGCAATTTCAAAGGCAAATTATGGCTGTAGGACTAATCTGGCCTGATGACCCTTATCCTGTTCCTTATCACATACCCATCTTTATTGTTCTTACTGCTTTGGTTGGTAGTATATGGGTTATTAAACCCATGGACACGATAGGCAAGCGCTCTGCAATGCAGTTACTGTCCCCATTGTTGTTCTTGTTTTAATAAAGCTTTGCTATAACATGGTAACGTGCTCATTCATTTGCTTTATCTGTAGCAGCTGTTGCCAGCGTAGTAGCAGTGGCTGTGACAGGTATTATTTGGTATTAAAAGCCTAAGAATTTAAAATGTACATAACCCTTACCTTAAATATCTGTTCTTAAATTCACAATGTTAGTATTTGGAAATATATGTAAATTATATTTAGAGGTTGGTTACTTGTAGATACCTAAAAATTTCACTAACTTGGTCCCAAGACTTGAGACGTATGATTAAAAATAAAAGTATTACTGGTAGTGGTGCACGCTTTTAATCCCAGCAATTAGGAGGCAGAGGCAGGCAGATCTCTATGAGTTCAAGGCCAGTCTGGTCTACTAAGTGAGTTCCAGGACAGCCTCCAAAGCTACAGAGAAACCCTGTTCCAAAAAACCTAAATAAATAAATAAATGGATCATTATGAGCTGGAAAGATGGCTCAGAGATTAAAGCACTTATATAAGCACAGACAGACAGACACACGCACGCACACATGCACACAAGCCTTCAAAAAAGAAAGAAAGAAAAAAGATGTATGCCTTTAATCCTAGCACTTGGAAGGCAGAGGTAGATGGAGTTCAAAACCAGGCTGGTCTGCAAAGTGAGTTCCAGTATGGCCAAATCTACACAGAGACACCCTGTTTCAAAAAACAAAACAAAACAAAACAAAACAAATTACCATTAGATTGGGGTAGTGGTACATTCCTGTGACCCTAGCAGCTGACCCGGCAGAGGCAGGCAGATCTCTGTGAGTTCAAGACCAGTCTAGTCTACATAGCAAGTTCTAGGCCAGCCATGGCTACATAGTGAAAGCCTGCTTAAAAAAATAAGGGATGTTAAGTATTTCTGTACTCCTATGTGCTCTTCCTTAGCACATATAGCAAATATAGATAGAATTTATATTTGGAAACTTTGTTCAGATTCAAATGTTAATATATTTGTAAGTATAATAAAACATCACAGTTTAATGTATTGGTTATCACAAGAAAACTCAACATATGGTTTAAACTGTATGGAAAAATGACATCAATAACATGAAACTAAAAATTATAACATCAGAAGTCTAAGAAATAATACCTGGTTCTGTCTCTGTCAAAGCCACAAGACTTTGTAACTTGGTTGGTAATTAGATTGAGTCACCATGCCTTTCCTTTGCGGTCAGTTTTGTTCTGAATATCTTGGGGTGTCTGAAGGATGATGGGTTAGGTTTTTATTCTGTAGAGGAGTTTTGGGCCCAGGTGATGCTGTCTCAGTCTGGCTCAGGACCTGTGGCTCTGGCTTTGTGGACCTGGACTGCTGTCCTCTTCTCTTCCTCTTCTCGAGCTATGCCTGTCGCGACCCTTTGTTTCCTGTTTGTGAGACCTCTTCCGCCTGTGAGGGCTCTTCCTCTCTGACTCCCTGTTTCTCCTGGAGGAGTGGCGTGGACTGCAGTGGGAGGTCCTTGACTTGCCGTAACGGTATTCATGGTGGTCCGTCCTTTCCCTCCTGTCTGAGTTTTTACCAGAGAGGCCAGTCCAAGCTGGAGACAGGTAGACGTCTCTAAATTCATTGTTGGGATTTCTGAACACATGAAGAAAGTTGCAGTGCTTTCCTTTTGGACACTTCTGCATTTCATATAAACCACAAATTGCGATTTTCCACCGGGTCACTGGGCAGAACTCGCACTGGAGCTGTCTCCCTGCATACCATCTTCCATTAAAGACAGTGAGGGCCGCTTGGCATTCTTCTTCCGACTGGTACTGAACATACACATTACCTCGCAGATGAGGCTCTAAGTTGCAGCTCACTTTGAACTGAATCACGTTTCCCACGTTCTTGAATTCGGGCAGCACATCATGGTAGAAGTCGAGAAACTGCTGGTAGGTCTCCTCCTCACTGTATTCCAGGCTTGCGTCAGAGTCATAGTCGTCCCTTCTGCACTGCTCCATTCCAAATGTTGTAAACATACTCTTCACGAGAAGCGTGGGGCTGGACGTGGGAAAGTCGTGCTTCCGAGAGCACCTGTTACCAAACCGGCACGCCCCCGTTTTACTGTAGAAGGGACAGCTGGCTTGATATTTCTCCAGTCTTAATTCTTTGGGTGGTTCCGGGTTCTGCCAAGTGCCATCATTTTCAGCCTGGTCCAGCATTTTCTGCAACGCTTCCTCTCTTCCTCTCTTCTCTCGGAGCTTCTGCTCCTCCTCTTCTCGCTGTTTTTTCTGTTGCTCTTCCCATTCCAACTTTATCTGTCTCTCCTGTTCTTCCCTCTGTTTTCTAGCGGCTTCCTCCTTTTTCTTCTTTATTCTGAATTCTTCTTGTGCTTTCTCCTCCCTCAGCAGCCACTCTTCATGTAATTTTTGTCGCTCTGCCTCCAATAATCTTTCCGTAAGTTGGTCGTTAGCTGAAACATTATCGTCGTCCTCCACTGGGGCTGCAAGGTCTCTCAACCGAGCCATTTTCTGCCGACGTTTTTTGCGTTTCTCCTTCCTTAGGGCAGCTCGGTATTTTTTGTGACCGAGTTTTTGAGGAAACACAGCCTCCTGTGTTGCCATCTTACTGCAGAGCGCAAATTCCTTCCTAGATCTCGCGATAATTTCCCTTTGCCGTGCTGGTGGATTGAAAAAAAAAGTCTCACACACTGCTAAGTTGTTCTGCTTTTAAAAATTGCCTTTCTGAACAGCTGGGACCATCAGGCTCAGCTGATGTGGTTTTTCTCACCAGCCTTAGAAGGTTGAACTGCCTGAGTTCACGGTCGTGGGAGAACAGCGCGCCAGTAGGCGTGTGTACGCATGCGCGCGGAGGGAGTCAAAGGCCGGCTTCGGGGTTGGAATGCTACAAGTGCAGCATTCCTGTGAGCGTGCTTATCCGTTTCTGGCTTGTGTCCCTGCCGGGGGGGGGGGGGGGGGGCTGCTCCCTCCTGGTAGTTCCTAATTCTGCCATACCCCTCTGTGGTAGGGTACCAACAGTGCACCCTCTCGGGATCTGCTCTTTTATGTGGGTGCTGCTGATAGAAATGAGCTCTCATGCTTGTTTGGCAAGCCCTCTCTCTGGCCTGGTATCTAAAAATTTTTTAAACATTGAATATGTTTTGTTATTTGGAAGAGTTTGCATTTAGGCAGTCTGGCGCATACCTTTAATCCCAGCATTTGGGAAGCAGAGACAGGCGGATCTTGAGGCTGTAAGCATTTTAATGGTTCAGATGGGACGGAAAGGCATTCTGGCACTCGGGAGCCAAGGAATACATACCACAGGTCTCAGTTTACATCCCTGCTTCAGGAAAAGGCTTCTCCAGCGTATTGGCTCTGCTCTGGCAGGAGAGGGTTTCCCGGTGAAGTTGGGCTACTGTCCCCCACCCCCTTTCGCTCTTTAATTCAAGCGGTCCTGGGACTCACTGGATAGCCCAGGCAGGCCTTGAACTTGCAAGGATTCTTTTGCATCTGTCTCTAGAGGGTTGGCATGGCACAGCGTCCTGACCTACTAAGTAGAAGAGGGCAGGCATATTTTTAGCTATAAGCTGTAGTTTTATTTTTCTACTCTAGGTGGCAATGTAATATTGGTTTGCTAAAATGCTGCAGGAATCCACTACGTAATGTTTAAATGTTTTCTTTTTCTGGAATGTTCTAGTCGGAAAAAATGCTTTTGCTGGCTATTCAAAAAAAAAAAAATTGTTTCGATGGGATTGTAGAGATGGCTCTTTGGTGAAGAGTTCTTATTGTGATCTGGGTGGTGGTAGTGAATGTCTTCACAAGCATTTGGGTGGCTAGTTTATGCTCACATATAGATGAATAAATTTATGTAGTAGGATTTTATTATTTAAAGTGGGGAGCTAGGCAGTGGTGGTGCACACCTTTAATCCCAGCTCCTGAGACACAGAGGCAGGTGGATCTCTGTGACTTTTGAGGTCAACCTGGTATACAGCGTGAGTTCCAGGACAGCCAGGGCTACACAGAGAAATCCTGTCTTGAAAAGAAAAAAAAAAAAAAAAAAAAAAAAAAGAACGACAAAACAACAACAACAACAAAAGAGCCCTTGTTGCTCTTCAAGAAGATCCAAGTTTGATTCCCAGCACTCCAATGGTGGCTCACAACTGTCTGTAACTGAAGTTTTAGGGGATCAGAGGTTCTTCAGGCTTCCAGGGACATCAAGTGGTACACATACATCCACACAGGTGAAACACTCATACATACGAAATACACAAACCTAAAAAATAAGTAATTGTTTCAACTAATGTTTTCATTTAAAAAAACAAACTATAGAAAATTTTGTATAGCCAGGCATAGTGCCTGCACATGTCTGTAGTCCTAGAGCTGTCGAGGGTTGGAAGATCAAGGTCATCCTTGACTACAGCCACCAAAACAACAACAAAATCAAGGAAGTTTGGAGAAGGAGTTCTACATTGGGGTCCGTAGGCAGCAGGAAGAGGGAAACTTTGGGCTTGGAATGGGCTTTAGAAAAACAAAAAACAAAACCTCAAAGCCCACCTCCAGTAGTGACACACTTATTCTAACATGGTCACACCTCCTAATCCTTTCAGATCGTGCCACTCTCTGATGACCAAGTATTCAGATTTGTGAGCCTATGGGGGCCATTCCCATTAAAACCACCATATCCCCCAAAGTCCATGTTCTAAAGGCTTGCACCCCAGTCCAATGGCCTGTCCAGAGGTGGTAGGCACACTGGATGATACAGGGCCTGGTGGGAAGAGTAAGTTCCAGGGATGATTTTGACAGGAACATTTTCTTTCAGCCTTTGGCGTGCGCTCTCTCTCTCCTCTTCTCTTTCTTTCCCTCCTTGCTCTTTTCTCTTTCCACCTCTTTCTCTCCTTCTCTCTCCTTCCACCCCCCTTTCTTTCTTGCTTGATTTCCTGATTTTTTTTTTAATTTTTATTTATTATAAATACAGTGTTTTACCTGCATGTATGCCTGAAGGCCAGGAGTGGATACCAGATTTCATTATGTGTGACTGGGTGCCACCATGGATCACTGGGAATTGAACTCAAGACCTCTGGAAAAACAGCTAGTTTTCTTAACCACTGAGCCATCTCTCCAGCACTGATTTCCTGATTTTTTATAGTTCTTTTTGAGTCAAGGTTTCTCTGTGTAGCCCTGGCTGCCCTGGAGCTTACTCTGTAGACCAGGCTGGCCTCAAACTCACAGAGATTCCCCTGCTTATGCCTCTGTCTCCCAAGTGCTGGGATTAAAGGCCTGTGCCACTACACCTGGCACAATTTATTTACATGTTTGAATGTTTTACATGTATGTATGTATGTATGTATGTATGTATGTATGTATGTATGTATTTGTTCCCTCAGAAGCCCGGAGAGGACATCAGATCCCCTAGAACTGGAGTTTTAGATTGATGTGTGCAGGAATCAAACTCATGACCTCTAGAAGAGCAAGTTCACTTAACCAGTGAGTCATCCCTCCAGCTCTCTAATCGTTTTAGATCTCTTAAAGTTGACATTAGGGTTAGAGAGGTGCTTTTCTATATTTATAATATTTAAAAACTCTGTAGTAGCCTATTGTAGTGTTATATTACTTATCATTTATTAAAGCTTGACTGAGGATTCAGAAAATAAAGTCTGTCACGAGCCATAGAAATCAGGCAGATACCTTTACTCCATCAGCCAGAAGCTAGGGGTGGTGGTACACACCTTTAATCCTAGGACTCAGGATTAAGAGATAGAGATAGGTGGATCTCTCTGAGTCCAAGGCCACCCAGATCTATACAAGAGTGAATCAGTCTAAAAGAAAATTATAGCTCATGCCTCTAATCCCAACATTAGGGAAGTATATAAGACAGAATTAAGGTCTCAGAGTGCCCTGGCCCTTGGGGTCAGTTGACGGGGACCCTGAGGGAGGGAGTAAGAATGAGGGGACAAGAGACTCGAGAGATGGAGACAAGACAGTATTCTGATCAAGTCTCGTTTAATGAATATAACCACAGGGTTTAAGTAGTGGAGAAACGAGGGAATGGGCCAAATGGAGGATGTGAGGGAGGCAGCATGTCTTTCCAGGCAGAATGCAGGTGTTCTGCTATAAGATAAGTTGCTATACGATAAGCCTGTAGCTGGGACTCTTTCAGGGTCAGGCTACATCATATGCTTAACAAGAGAACAGTCATAGGAGAATGGAAAATTACAGTATGTTAGTATCTAAGAGAGTAGTAGGAAAGATGGCTGTTAAGATGCTAACTTTGCTCTGGGGCTCCCCAATCAGAGACGTATTCATTCTCTAGCCATGCTGAGGAGAGGTTATAGTCTGAGGCTTGGTGAGAGAGAGCTCATGGAGACAGGATCAGCCCATTCAGCCTGAGGTAGGGATAAGAAGCTAGTGGCCTGCTGCTTTGCTTTTCTGATATTCAATTTGAAGCTTGAACCCCAATATCATTTTCTGGGTCATTTATTTATTCATGTTACAACCCATGAAAATGATGTGAATGTCAGATGTCAGTGTGATAAATTGTCTCATTTTTGCTCTCTAAGGGCAGAATTGGGCACTTAGAACAGAGACTGGATGGCAAAGCCTAAAATATTCATGTCTGGCCTTTTTATAGAAGAAATGCCCAGAGCCTGCTGAAAATCTTACTGTTTGAATAGACCTCAATGTGTTATCATTTCTACTGTTAATGGGCACCCTATTTTTGCTTAGTATGATTAGAAGAAGACCCTACTTTTTTCTTGAGACAGAAAACTGGCCTTGTCGCCTAGTATAGTTCAGAAGATGAACATCAGCTTTAGGGGTGACGGGTTCTAGACACGTTGCCACATCTTCCTCAGGACTCTAGTTTTATTGAGCATAGAACCACTTTTGGTTCATAGGATGGCTGTACAAGTTTCTATACAGTTAACTTGGCTCTGTTTTGTCTTTATGAAGCGACTGTAAGATAATACCTGTGCCCTCAGTTCTGTTTCTTTTGCATATTTTTCATAATGAAGAAGTAGTTTTCTTAGCAGCTGCAAAGAAGATAATTAGATAAATTTATATATTCTTCTTTGTGGTGACATTTTTGTTTATGACCGAACAAATAAAGCTTGCCTGAAGATCAGAGTGCAAAGCTGCCCATACTAGTTAGTCATAGAGGTCAGGCAGTGGTGGTACATACCTCTATTCTCAGCACTATGGAGACAGAGGCAGACAGATCTCTGTGAGTTCAAGGCCACTCTGAGCTACACAAAATTGATCTGGTCTGAAAGAGAAACCGAGCTCACAAATCCTAGCACTAGGGAGGTGGAGACAGGAGTGATAAAATGGGTGCAGAGAGGAATATGAGGCGGAGGAGACAAGAGCTCAGTACAGTGTGAGGTTTGGTGGAGACAGATGCAGTCTGAGGACAGGATCGCCCTTTTGGTCTGAGCACTGGTAGAGGTGAGATCTCTCTAGTGGTTGGCTGCTTTGCTTCTCTGATCTTCAGGCAAGCTTTATTTGTTAGATCATAAGATATCACCACACTCCCTAAAGAGAGATTTTCTTGTTTTTTCATGATGCTGGGGATCTCACCCCAGGACCTCCTGCATGTGAGGTACATGCTCTACTACTGAGCTATACCCTCAGAACTCCTAGGGTTTATACTTTCCCATCCTTGTCAACTCTTTGAGACCTTTTTGTTTATTTAATTTTTTAGTGTTAGAGGTTGTACTCTATCCCCAGGTCTATAAACACCTCCAGTGCCTGTCCTGC